GGGGCATTCCTCAACATAATAAACGCCATATATGAAAAACCTACAGCCAATATCATACTCGAACGGGCAAAAACTGAAAGCTTTTCCACTAAGATCGGGAACACGACAAGGATGTCCACTCTCACCGCTTCTTTTCAACATTGTATTGGAAGTCCTAGCCACAGCGGTCACACAGGAGAAAGAGATAAAAGGCATTCAAATAGGAAAGCAGGAAGTAAAGCTATCATTGTTTGCAGATGACATGATAGTGTACATAGAGAACCCCGTAGACTCTACCAAAAAACTCCTCAACCTAATAAGTGAATTTGGCAAAACAGCAGGATACAAAGTCAACATTCAGAAATCAAAGGCGTTTTTGTACACCAGCAATGCAATAGAAGAAGAAGAAATCAGAAAAATATACCATTCGATATAGCAAGAAGAAAAATAAAGTACGTAGGCATAAATTTAACCAAAGACACAAAAGACCTGTATGCAGAAAACTATACAACATTGAAGAGAGAAATTAAGGAAGACACAAATAAATGGAAGCATATACCGTGCTCATGGATTGGAAGAATTAATATCCTCAAAATGTCCATACTACCCAAAGCAATTTATAGATTCAACGCAATCCCTATTAAGATACCAATGACGTATTTCACAGAAATAGAACAGACACTTCAAAAATTTATATGGAACCATAAACGACCCCAAATAGCCGCAGCAATTTTGAGAAAGAAACACAAAGTAGGAGGGATCACAATACCGGACATCAAACTCTACTACAAAGCCACCATACTCAAAACAATCTGGTACTGGCACAAGAACAGACCCATAGACCAGTGGAACAGAATAGAAAGCCCAGAAATAAGCCCAGGTCTCTAGGGACATCTAGTATTCGACAAAGGGGGCAGAAGCATAAAATGGAGCAATAACAGCCTCTTCAACAAATGGTGTTGGGAGAGCTGGACGGCTACATGCAAAAAATTGAAATTGGATCATCAGCTGACACCATACACAAAAATAAAGTCAAGATGGATAAAAGACTTAAATATAAGTCGCAACACCATCAAAGTCCTAGAGGAGAACATTGGCAGGAAACTCTCAGATATCCCACGCAGCAATTTTTTCACTGATATGTCTCCAAAAGCAAGGGACATAAAGGAAAGAATAAACAAGTGGGACCTCATAAAAATAAGAAGCTTCTGCACGGCGAAAGAAAACATCAGCAAAATGAAAAGGGAGCCAACCGTATGGGAAAATATATTTGCTAATGATACATCAGATCGAGGTTTGATCTCCAAGATATACAAAGAACTCACTCGACTCCACTCCAAGAAGACAAACGATCCAATCAAAAAATGGGCAAAGGACCTGGGCAGACGCTTTTCCAAGGAGGAGATACAGAGGGCCCAGAGGCTTTTGAAAGGATGCTCAGCAGCACTAGCCATCAGAGAAATACAGATCAAAACCACCATGAGGTACCACCTCACACCGGTCAGAATGGCCATCATAAACAGATCCACAAACAACAGGTGCTGGCGAGGCAATGGAGGAATGGGAACCCTAGTCCACTGTTGGTGGGAATGCAGACTGGTGGAGCCACTGTGGAAAGCAGTGTGGAATTTCCTCAAAAAGCTGAAAATGGAACTGCCGTTTGATCCAGTGATTCCCCTGCTGGGACTATACCGTAAGAACACCAAAACGCCCATCCAAAAGAACCTATGCACCCCAATGTTCATAGCACCACAATTTACAATATCTAAGTGTTGGAAGCAACCTAAATGCCCATCAGTAGATGATTGGATCAAAAAGTTATGGTACGTACACACAATGGAATACTTCGCAGCAGAAAGAAAAAGAAAACTACTAAACTTCGCGACAGCATGGATGGAACTGGAGAGCATTATGCTAAGCGAAATGAGCCTGGGGGCGAAAGACAAATACCATATGATCTCACCTATAAGCGGGACCTAACCAACAATACAAAGATGCAAGGAAAATAAGACCAGCAACACCGAAAGGAAAAGAAATCAACAGAGACAAGAGGGAAATAGGGTGGGGGGTTGGGGAAAAGGAAGGGAAGGGGAAAGTCAAGGAACATATAAGCAAGGACTCATGGTCACAACCAAAGGGGAAAAGCTGAGGGAGGGATGGAGGGAGGGGGCAAGGGAAAGTTGTGGGGGGGAGGCAGAGATAAATGTATTTGAAAAATGAATTAAAATAAAATTTAAAAAAAAAGAAAAAAGAAATTAAAATAAAATTTTTTTTAAAAAAGAAACTAGACTCCTTATACAACACAAAAGAATAAACTCAAAATGGATTAAAGACTTAAATGTTAGGCTGAAAACCATAAAAATCCTAGAAGAAAATATAGGCAGTAAAATCTCAGACACTACTTGTAGCAATATTTTTTATTATATATTTCCTTGGGAAGGGAAACAGAAGAAAAAAATAAACAAATTGGACTATATCAATTGAAAAGTTTTTGCATAGCAAAGGAAACCATCAAAAAAATGAAAAGACAACCCAATGACTGGGAGAACATATTTGCCAATGATGTATCTGATAAGGGGTTAATATCCAAAATTAATAAACAACTTACAAAAACACCAAAACACAAACAATCCAATTTAAAAAATGGACTAAGGACTTGAACAGACACTCCTCCAAAGAGGACATACAGGTGGCCAATAAAAATATGCTCAACATCACAAATCATCAGAAAAATGCAAATTAAAACCACAATGAGATATCATCTCATATCTGCAGAATGGCTATCAATAAATCAAAAAACGTGTGCTGGCAAGAATGCAGAGAAAAGGGAACTCTTGTGCACTGTTGGTGGGAATGCAGATTGGTGTAGCCGCTGTGGAAAACTATGGATTTACCCCCCAAAATTAAAAATGAAACTGCCTTGTGATCCAGTGATTCCACTTCTGAAAATATATCTGAATAAACCTGAAAAACTAATTCAAAAGAATATATGCACCCCTATGTTCATTGCAGTGTTACTTATAATAGTTAAGACTTGGAAGCAGCCCAAGTGTCCATCAGTAGATGAGTAGGAAAAAAAGTTGTGGTACATTTACATAATGGAATATTACTCAGCTGTAAAATAGAAGGAAATTACCCTTTTTGACAGCATGGATGGACCTGGTGACCATCCTGATGACCATAATGGCAGACCATTACATAAGTGAAATAAGCCAGCCAGAAAAAGACAAGTAATAAGACAGAGAAAGACACGTATCATGATTTCACTCATATGTGGACTCTAATGAGCAAAATGAACTAACAAGGAAAACAGAGACAGACTCACAGACAGAGAGTGGGCTGACTGCTGTCTGAGAAGGAGACCGGGTGAGAGGGTAGAATAGAGAAAAAAACCTCATGGACAGGAACAACAGTGTGGTGATTGCTGGTGGAGTTGGGTTAGAGGGTGCTGAAGGAGGGTATAAGGGGCTGAATGGCGATGGACAGAGACTTGAGTTGGGGTAGTGAACACACTATACAGTATACAGATGATGTGTTATAGAACTGTGCGTTTGAAATCTGTATAATTTTCTTAACCAGCATCACCCCAATACGTTCAATAAAAAGAAAAAAATAAATAAAAGGAAAAGCCCTGGCCAGGTGGCTCAGTTGTTTGGGAGGGTCATCTATGCACCAAAAGGTTGTGGTTTCAATTTCCAGCCAGGGCACATACTTGGGTTGCAAGTTTGATCTCTGGTCAGGGTATGAATGGTAGGCGACCAATAGATGTTTCTCTCTCACATCTCTCTCTCTCTCTCTCTCTCTCTCTCTCTCTCTCCCCCTCCCTCCCCCCCCCTTACCTTCCTCTTTCTCTAAAATCAATAAACATATCCTTGGGAAAGGATTAAGAAAAGAAAGGCAAAGGAAGAGGTAAAGAAAAGAAGTAATGGTGTCAATATCCATATTAGGAGTCCAAAAGGAGAGGAAAAACATAAAGAATAAATTAAAGAAGCAATGACGAAGAACTTCCCAGATTAAAGAAGCACAGAAGAGAACGTCCAGTTTCCAGTCTGGCATATAAATAGATTACATCCTAACAACAAGTAAAAAGCTGAACAAACTGAAAATCAAACTTCTTAGATCCATCAGAAAATTGAGGTCACAGGACAAACTGCTGCCCATAAAACCGGAGAGACAGACAGAAGGATACAGAGAATCACAATCTACTACTAGAGCAGAAACCCATGAATAGAAAGCTCTTGGAACAAGTGCCAGGTAGAAAAACCTAAACTGCAATTGCGAAATTGCTGGAGGTTCAGTGTGGACAAATTCAAGAGACAAAACTCCGGGGGGAGGGGGACACATTTTTGTGTTTTCTTGATTCTCCCTGGAGCTCTATCAGGTTCTCATGGTAAAGAGCAAAGAAAAACTGCCTCATGCTTCTGGCAAGAGGGGAAAAGTAGTCATTTTGAAATACATCAGAGTACAATGTACTCTGTTCTTCTTAACAAGGCCTGTCTTTGAGAGAAACCATCTTGCTGGAATCTACCCTATTATTTTCTTTTTTTAAAGTATTTTGTTAGAAACATTTTCCCCCCAATTCTACTGAGAAATAACTGACATATATCACTCCATAAGATTAAGGTATACAAGATGATGGTTTGGTATATGTTTATTGTGAAATGATTGCCACAATAGGTTCAGCTAACATCCATCTTCTCATATAGATATAATAAAAAAGAAAAAAAAAGTTTTCCTTGTGATGAAAATTCTTAAGATTTATTCTGTTAACAACTTTCCTATATATCATACAGCAGTATTAGCTACAGTTATCATGTTGTATGTTACATTCCTAGTATTTATTTGTCTTATACCTGGAAATTTGTACCGTTTGACCACCTTTCTCCAATGCCCCCTTCTCCCACCTTCTGGTAACCACAAGTCTGACCTGTCTATGAGTTGTTTTTAACTCCACATATAAGTAAGATAAAACACTTATTTGCCTGTCTCTGCCTGATTTACCTCCCTTAGCATAATGCCTTACCAATGCAGAATGCTTCACAAATTTGCCTATCATTCTTGTGCAGGAACCATACTAATCTCTGTATTGTTCCAATTTCAGTATATGCGTGGCCAAAGTGAGCACACTGAAGTTTTTATCAGCACCTAAACAACCCATGGAAAGGGAAATACCCAATTGCAGTTCCCTCTAGCCATCCCATCCCTACTAGCTGGGCAGGAAAAACTGAGAAGTCTTTGTGAAATTCACAGTCCAAGGACACATGCTCACCAAAAGAAAGATAAAGTTCTGTGCACAACAGCAAGATCCCCATACCGCACCTCAACTCCCTGCTGCCAGATGGCTGCCCTCCTCCCCACAGATGTCCGGAGGTCTGATCTCTAGATGAGGTATGACCTGGCCTCTGGACTGGGCAGCTCACATAGCATTAAGGTGTGAGTGCTGTATAAGCTAAAGGCTAAGATCCCCTTTCCCCTATTGACAACCAGGGTCCTGAGTCTGAACAATCCTTTATGGCAACTGTGACAAGAGGAAAGACCTCAAGGAAGACATATTCGGGGTCCTCAACAGAGAACTACTCCATTATCTACTTGCTTCCAGCATTGCTGTTAAACTGGCTCTCAACTTTACCCAATGCTGGCTTGGGACTTTGGCTTAAGTTCAAGGCCTTTCAAACATGGAAAGCCTCACATTTTACTTCCCAGACAGCTTTCCTTAGGAAGCCACTATCTATGTGCTCTACTAAAACAGAGAGTAAATGTACAGAAAGGTAAAGATGGAGCACAAGAAACAGGAGATTCAATACAGAGAAGGAACAAATGAATCTCCAGTGAAAGGTGATCCCAGGACCACTGGGTCACACACAAAAGGCAGCCAGTAGAGTGCTAAGTGTGACTCAAGGGGCCAACATACTGAGGGTATTATCACTAAATCCCTGCCACTACTGAACCATTTTTTAACCTTGAGGAGTAATGGCCCAGAAGCTTTCTGTGCCTTGCTTGGCTTCACCATGTACTCTGAGACTCTACTCCATCCATGCCTGCTCCTTGGCTCAGCTGAGGATGCTTGTTCCACAAATAACTGCTCTGACCTCCTATGAGCTGAAAGGAAGCATGTCAGCTCAGGAAGGAAAAACAGATTCTCATGGCCCAGACTTCTGTCATGTTGTCTGGTATACACTGCATCTCAGATGGTATGTTTCCCACGATTCCCTAATGACCTTGACCAGTGACTTCTCCAGGATGGGCTCATGGAAGGTGCAACCAGAACATGACTGTATGAGTTTCCTGGAGCTATTGTATCAATGGTATGACTTAAAACAACAGAAATGTATTCTTTCACAGTTCTGGAGGTGGGAAATCAGAAATCAAGGTGTCAGCATGGCCATGTTCTTTCTGAACACTCTGGGGGACAATCTGTCCCATGCCTTTTTCTTGGCTTCTGATGTTGCCAGCAATCATTGGCATCCCTTGGTTTATAAACACATCATTCTGCCTCAGTCATCATGTGGTATTCTCCCCATGTGACTGTCTCTGTGTCTCTTCTCTTCTTCTAAGGACACTGGTTATATTGCATGAAGGACCCAGCCTACTGCAGTGTGATCTCATCTTAACTAATTTTATGTACAGGAGGCTTATTTCCAAATAAGGTCACAATAACATATACAGGGGGTGAGGACTTTAATATATCCTTTTGCGGGACACAATTCAATCTACAACAATGACCCATAAAGGTTACTTAGCTTATATTCTCCTGGAAACCTTCATCTGCGAGGCAATTTCCTTACACAACTAAGTGCTTCCCACTTCGGTTTTTTTTTTAAACTGAAAATATATTGCTTAGGGATACAGACATAAAAAAGTAAAAGAATGAGTAAGAAAATGACTCCCTCTGGCAGGCAGCAGGCAGTGCACAGGATTTCTCAGGTGTTTGTAATGCTGTTTCTTAACCCAGGAGCTAGAAGCATAGGCAGTTATTTTATTAATCTCTATAAACTATACCCGTATGTTCTATGCATTCTTCTATGGGTATGACACATTTCATAATTAAAAAAAACAAAATACAGACATTAAAATGACAAACCCATGAGAACAAAGAATAGATGAAAAGATGATGGCAACAAAAGCATATGAATGAGGCAAATGACTTAGACCAGAGAGCCAAAACCTAAGGCAGCAGTGAGGACAGGCCAGAAGCAGCATGATTTATAGGCAAGAGCCTCAGAAAAGGACAGCAACTGTGTACACCACGTCCTGCTAAAGTTGAAAGTCTCTTTAATTAAGGGATCAAAGGCCTCACTGCTCATATCCAGAAATGATCTTCCCCTCCATTGCAAGACAACTACACTCTGCAGAGGCTCAAAAGAGATTCTGGACACACGGACACCAGACACAGCCAAGGGTGGGAGTATTGTCCTAAAAACAGGGACATTCAGTGGAAGTTTACCAGCTGATGGGTTGGCTCTTGGCCCCCCTTACTTGGCTCCTAGGATGCAGGCAGGCAGGTTTTACTCCCCAGGAAAGATGGGGAATAAGAGAAAAAAAATTAATGGAATCCATCTGGAGTAGGGGTCATTGGCAAACTATAGCACATATGCCAAGTATGCCAAATATAGCCTGTTTTAGTAAATAAAGTTTTATTGGAGCACAGCCACACCCATACATTATGTCTTAACCTGTGCTGCTTTCACAATACAACAGCAATGTTGCAACTGAGACTGTGTGGCCTGCAAAGCAGAAATTATTTACTACCTGACCCTTTAAAGAAAAAGTTTGCTAACTCTTGGTCTAATAGTGGTGTTCTGAAAAGACAGAATAGAGAAAACAGAAGATAGGAAATTAAGAAGACTTTCTGTAACTCAAGGAGAGTTTCAAATTGAAAGGGCCCACACACAAAATGCTGAGCACAATGAAACAAAAATCCCTAAATGTGGTGTATTACTGAATAACATTAGAACAGTGGGAAAAATAAAAAAAGAGCCCACGAGTCGCCAAAGAAGAACAAGATAGATAAATGTGCCCGGGCTGGTGTGGCTCAGTGGACTGAGTGCTGGCCTGTGAACCAAAGGGTTGCCAGTTGGATTCCCAATCAGGGCACATGCCTAGGTTGTGGGCCAGGCCTCAGTAGGGGGCGTGTGAGAAGCAACCACACACTGATGCTTCTCTCCCCCTCTTCCTCCCTCCCTTCCCCTCTGTCTAAAAATAAATAAAATCTTAAAAAAAAAAAAAAAAAAAAGAGGCAAATGTGCAAATAATCCAAATAGGCAACTCACAGAGAAATAACTGGGGGACATGAAAATTGTTTAACTTTACCGATAATCAAACAAATGTAAATTAGAAATAAGTTTTCACTTTACAGCTCTCAGTTAGCTAAACAAAAGGCTGGTCAAGAGCAAGTGCTAGCAAAGATACAGGGAATATAAGACCTCTCATTCCTGCTATGTGAAGATGTGGTCTGGCAGTTCCAAGTGGAATTCATTGTTCTAGGAGCACACTTAAGACTTGGGTTCCACTAAATCACCTCAAGCAACACTAACACCAAAATGATCCCTTGGCAGCATCACACTGATCCCTTGGCTGCTACGTCTCCATGTTCTCTCCTAACCACACAGATGTTTACATGTTTTCAGATCCTGCTAAGCACAGGGTCTGGTACACTAATGTTCTTAAATACAACTATCAATCTAAGCTATGACACAAATCATGGACAGCTATACTGAGGGACTAAATGATACAATGAAAATGTCTAGGTTCCACCTGGAATACCAAAAGAGGGAAAAACCCCAGATGTATGAAGGATATTCAAACTGAACTATTTCAAAAAATTAAGCTCAACAATTTTTGTGTTTTTCTCTCTTGCTGTTTTCTCCTTTCTCTCCCAAAATTACTCAGGACTTTAATAGTCACAGCATAACTGTGTCTACTCTTTGGTGCTGCCTGCCCCACCTCCACTCCCACCCTGAGTTTGAGAGTATATGCTAACTCACCTGGTATCGGTCAAGGATTCTGAAGTCCTGACAGGTGGTTCTGTATGTGGCCTGGGCAGCAGGAAGGCTGGAAACTCCTCCTTCTTTGGCCCCATAAATCCCATCAACTAACAGAAGAGCAGCATTAACTACTTGATCCAAGTCAAAAAGTGGTAATCCCCTCTCCCTTTTTGCTTGTCTGATAATTAATTTACGCTTCAGTCTCCGAGCTTCTGGTGTCATGGCAACAGCACTGGCACAAGCTTCCAGCCTCTTCAGGAGCAGTTTCTCCTCATAGATGCTCACAGGGGTATATTTGGGCCCTTTTGGTTTCCTGTCCTTCTCCAGCTGTGGCTTCCTCTTTTCTCGGGCCCTTGTTTGCAAAGATGTGTTGGAATCTGTGTCTTCGCTGTCAATGTCCATCCTGTCGGGTTTTTCCTCCTCACTCTCTACCTCCTGCTTTATCTGCTCAGGTGCTCTGACCTTCTTTCTGCCCCCGACCACTGTCCCAGAAGCTGCTGACCCAGCAGGGGGTGGGACGTACTCCATCCCTGGGTCTATGACTCCATCACCTTCCATCTCATCATCATCTGTGCAGAGTATAGAACAGAACAAAAGAAATGCAAAGCACACCACATGCAAGGTGAAATCATACACTTCTAAATCATGGGCCATAGATAAAATAAAAACATGCACAAAAGGTTAAGACTTACCATGAAACAAGGCTTGTGGTGGCATCACATCTGGAATCAAATCTGCTTCTGAAAGCAAGCTGGGTGTGGCTGAGTGAGAGGCTGGGGTCCCAGGGGCAGAGAAATCAAGAGAAGGAGAAGGAGATGGGCTGGTCAGTGGAGTGCGGTCAGAGGAGCTCAAGGATGAAAAGTCAATCACTTCTCCTTTTTCTAGAATCACATCAGGCCGGCGGCCTCGGCTTATGAATTTTACCGGGGTTGAAGAAGTGCTCCTGTCAAGAAAGCCAGCTGCTTCCTTCTGTGCTCTTCTAATGTCTTTTGCTTCCTGTGTACGAGACCTTTTCTCTTTTAATTCCATGGCTGATTCCACAGGATTGCGACTCGCCCGTTTTCTAAGTCCCTCTACAGTAATGATGGGATCTAAAGTTGGTTTTGAAGCTGCTGGAAAAGAATAAATATCTAAATTTCTTAATTATATTTTATTAATTATGCTATTACAGTTGTCCTGATTTTTTCCTCCTCTGTCCACCTCCACCCACAACACCCCATTCCCTCAGGCAATCCCGACACCAGTTCATGCTCATGAGTCATGTGTGTAAGTTCTTACGCTACTCCACTTCCTATACTGTACTTTACATGACCAAGGCTATTCTCTAACTACCCATTTATATTTCTTAATCCTTTCACCACTTCATTATTCTGCCACACCTCCTCCCATCGAGCAACCATGAAAATGCTCTCAGTATCCATGATTCTGACTCTGCTCTTCTTGTTGGCCTAATTTGCTTTTTAAATTCAGTTGTTGACAGAAATGTATTTGTTGCCATATTATTATTCATAGTTTAGATCTTCTTTTTCTTAATTAAGCCCCTTTAACATTTCAAATAATGGTTTGGTGATGATGAACTCCTTTAGATTTTTCTTCTCTGAGAAGCTCTTTATTTGCCCTTTGATTCTAAATGACAGATTTGCTGAGTAGAGAGAGCCCCTGCTTTCCATGACTTTGAATGTTTCTTGCCAATCCCTTCTAGTGTGCAAAGTTGCTCTTGAGAAATCAGCTGGCAATCTTCTGGGAACTCTCCTCTAGGAAGGTAACTACTTTTGCTGCTTCTTATATTTTCTATCTTTCACATTTGCTATTGGTATTTTAATTATGGAGTGCTTGGAATGCTGTGCATCCGTCTTATTTGGGACTCTGTGCTTCCTAGACTTGTATGTCTATTCCTTCACCAAATTAGGTAAGTTTTCTTTCATTATTTTTTAAATAGATTTCCAATTTCTTGCTCTTTCTCTTCTCCTTCTGGCACCCCTATGATGCGAATGTTGGACCTCTTAAGGTTGTCCAGAGGCATTTACACTATCCTCATTTTATTGAATTCTCCTTTCTTCTTGTTGTTTCAATTAGTTGTTTTTTGCTTCCTTATGTTCCGAATCATTGATCTGATTCTTGGCTTCATCCAGTCTACTGTTGTTTCCCTGTATATTGTTCTTTATGCCAATTAGTGTATCGTTCATTTTGACTGGACCTTTCTGTTCTGCTGAGGTCCTCACTAAGTTCCTTAAGCATCCTTATAACCAGTGGTTTGAACTCTGCACCTGACAGATTGCTTCTCTCCATTTCATTTAGCTCTTTTTCTGGAATTTTAATCTTTTCTTTCATTCCGGGCACAATTCTTTGTCTCCTCATTTTGGCAGTCTCCTTGTGTTTGTTTCTAGGTATTAGGTAGTGCTACTTTGACTCTCTGTCTTGGTAGGGTGACCAAATGTACTTGGTGTCCTGCAGGGTCCAGTGGCACAACCTCCCCTATCATCCAAGCTGGGCACTCGAGGTGCACCCTTTATGTGGGCTGACTACATCCTCCTCTTCTAGTTGAGCCTTGATTGCTGTTGGCAGGTCAATGGGAGGGATATATCCAGGCCAGTCAGCTGCAAGGACTGGCTGTGACCACAGATCACCAACCTCTGCCCTTCATGGAGGATCAGCTGTGCAGGGGCAGGGTGGTGCTGCTCTGACATGGTCTGCAGCTGCCCACTGGGTACATGGGCTCTGGGATTTTCTGAGTGGTGCTGGGCAGGTCAGCCCCTGTGTGTGTTCTTCCCGGGACACCCTGCATGAGCAATAAAGCAATCTGCAGATAGCTGCTACTTGTGCTGGATCTGGAGATTCCCTGGCAAAGCTAAGTTGTGAATCTAGGCTGGCTGCAGCTAGTGCTGGGTCTGGGGCTCACTGAGGCCAGCTGTTCCTTTTTTTGAGAGGATTTTGGAAGTTGTGAAGCATGAGCCAAGACCAGCTAGTCATATGGAAAAGTAGCTTGGGTGGACCCATAAGCTGGGTGGGGTGGTCTCCAGGGAGCTTTAAGGGAGGTCAAACAGTTGCAGTCAGGTTGTGGAGTCTCAGATATGGCACCAGCTTGCTGGCTCTGCAGCTTAGCAGGGGGAGAGTTCAGAAAAGAGACAATGGCCTCTGCTCGCCTTGATGCCAGATACTTCATTTTCTCCCTCTATGCCACCAGCACCTTTCAAGCTGCTACACCGGTGCTGGAGTTCAGAAGAATTAAGTCTGAGTAGGTGAGTCTGTGTGTGGGTTCTTTAAGAGGCACTGCTTGGGGCTCCAGAAGTTTCTTTCACCAATGCAAACTCCACTGGTTTTTGCAGCCATAAGTTGTAGGGACTTATATTCTTGGCACTGGGACCCTGGGCTGGGGGGTCTAGTGTGAGGCTGGGACTCCTTACTCCCAAGATATCCTGAATTTTTATCCACAACACACGGGTGTGGGACCAGCTGGCTCCATGGCTTCACATCTGCACCCCTCCTACCAGTCTGGATGGATGTGGTTTCTTTAATTCCATAGTTACCAGACTTCCATTCAACTCAATTTCTGACGGTTTTGACTGATGGTTGTACTACATTTTAGTTGTAATTTTGATGTGGTTTTGCAAGGGAGTGAGTCATGTCTGCCTGTGCTGCCATCTTGACTGGAACTCCCTCTAAATTTTTAAATAAACATTCAACTTTAGGGTTTTTTTCCTAATTTATTATTGTAAACCTATTACCACATTCAAAATAGAGAAATGTTCAATGAATGCCTTGTATAAGGACTCAGAGATCTCTTAACAAGAAAAAAAAGTTATAGTACAAATTTAAACAACTATCTTTCACCTATTGGAATTAGTAAACATTAAAAGTTTGATAATGCTCAGCAAGCATATGGAGGAATAAATGTTTCCATACCAGACCATAAATTTTACTACAACTTTTTGGAGGGCTATGTGGCAATACTGATTAGTTTTACATGAGCATAGCTTTTGATATAGCAACATGCTTCCAGGAATTTATCACAAAAAAACTTGCACAAGTACACAAATGTAATATTGTTTAAAACAACAGCAAAATGTTCTAGAAGCAAAATGTCCATCAACAGGGGTTCAATAAATTACCATACAGCCATTCAATGGAATGCAATGAAATAAAAGATCTGCATGTACTGAAATGGAAATATATCCAAGATATAATTGTAAGCAGGGGGAAAACTAAAGAACAAGTATCATGAGTCCCTTTACAGTTTTTCTTAAAAAGTAACAAAATGTTTAAATGTGCAGAGACGATTTCTATAGACATTCACAAGAGTCAACAGTGGTTACTCTGGGGAGTGAAAATGCAGAAAGGGGTGCATGCAGAGGGGCACCTTCCAGACTGTATACCCTTTAATCCTATTTGATTTTTTCCCCAATATATTTTTTTAAATGTAAAAGCTGACCTGTATAATTTTGTTAACCAATGTCACCCCAATAAATTCAATTTAAAAAAATAACAATAAAAAATTAAAATGTAAAATTTGAAGGTAGATGAAAGGTATGTGGGTATTCATTATATTACTCTCTGCACGTTTGCATGTTTAAAATTTTCCATAGTAAAAAGATTAAAAATAGGACTTCCGGTAAAGACGGAGGTGTAGGTAAACACTCTTCGCCTCCTCACACAATTACAGAAATATATCTAGTCTACAAAACAAGTATCACCCAGAACCGTCAGAAAATCAAGCTACAAGGAAGTCCTACAACCAAGGATTTACAGAAACCACATTCATCTAGATGGGCAAGAGAAGTGGAGATGTGGAGAGAGGCAGAGAGGTGCAGAAGGGCATGGTGCCATGGAGGCCGCGCGGAGAGGCAGCAGAACTGGCCGTCCCACATTCACATGTGGTGGATAAAAACTGGGAGTGATATATCTTCAGAGCAAGGGATCCCAGGCCAAACCAGACCACCCAGCAGCCCAGAGTTGCAGCGCCAGGAAGATAAATCCCCATAAATTTTGGCTGTGAAAACGAGTAGGGGTTGAGGCACAGAAGAAACTCTCAGATTATCATTTTAAAAGTCCTGCAAAGACTTAGGATTTACACAGACCCACTCCCTCTGAGATTCAGCACCAGGGCAATAGCTGTAAGGGTACAAGTGGCATACAGGGAGAAGGCAAGGAGACTGGAAACAGGGCATGTGCTGGGAGACAGCGTCCTCCCAGGCAAACCTCCAGAAACCAGGCAGTGGCACTGTCTCCTTTCCAAGCGCTCCCCTCACACAGAGTCACAAAACAATAAAAGAGGTTGACCCACCCTGCAAATTATCTAAGGCTCTGTCCCACACAACTTACAGGTCCACTTTTCTACAACTGGCCAGGCTACTAAGACAGGGAGCAAAGTAGCTCTACCTATTACACCGAAACAAACACAGGGAAGCTGCCAAAATGAGGAGACAAAGAAACATGGCCCTATTGAAAAAACAAAACAAAACTTCAGAAAAAAAGAATTAAACAAAATAGAGATAACCAACCTATGATATGCAGAGTTCAAAACACTGCTTATAAGGTTACTTAAAGATACTGAGTACGGCAACAGCATAAAAAAAAGGCCCAGGCAGAAATGAAGGTTACATTAAGTGAAATAAAGAAAAACCTACAGGGAACCAAGAGTAGAGGGGATGAAATTGAATATCAAATCAACAAATTAGAACATAAGGAAATAAAAAGCATTCAATCAGAATAGAAAGAAGAAAAAAGATTTTTAAAAAACGAGGATAGAATAGGAAGCCTCTGGGACAGCTCCAAATGTACTAACATTTGAATCATAAGGATGCCAGAAGGAGAAGAGGAAGAACAAGAAATTGAAAACTTATTTGAAAAATAACACAAGAAAATTGCCCTAATATGGTGAAGGAAATAGACACACAAGTCCAGGAAGCACAGAGAGTCCCAAACAAGTGGGACCCAAAGAGGACCACACCAAGACACATCGTAATTAAAATGCCAAAGGTTAAAAATAAAGAGAGAATCCTAAAAGCAGCAAGAGAAAAGCAGAGAGTTAACCTATAAAGGAATTCCCATAACTGTCAGCTGATTTCTAAAATGACACTGTTGGCTATAAGGGACTGGCAAGAAGTATTCAAAGTGATGAAAAGTAAGACCCTACAACCTAGAGTACTCTATTCAGCAAAGCTATCATTTAGAATTGAAGGGAGATAAAGTGCTTCACAGACAAGGTAAAGCTAAAGGAGTTCATCATTACCAAGCCATTACTATATGAAATGTTAAAGGGACTTATTTAAGAAAAAGATCAAAACTATGAACATTAAAATAGCAACAAATTCACAGCTATCAACAACGGAGTCTACAAAAACAAACCAAGCAAACAACCAGGACAGGAACACAATCACAGATATGGAGATCACTTGGAGGGTTATCAGCTGGGAAGGGTAAGGGGGAGAATGAGAGAAAAGGTGCATATTGGTAGGTAAAAAATAAAGAAGCATAAATTGGTAGGTACAAAATAGAGAGATGTTAAGAATAGTATTGTAAATGTGAAGCTGAAAAAATCATGCGCACGAACCATAGACATGAACTAAGCAAGGGCACTGCAGGAGTGAATAGGGGTATCGGGAGGGGGGCAAAAAAGGGAAAAACTGGGACAAATGAATAGCATAATAATACCTATCTTTTTAAAAATGTTTAAAACGAAATCAGATTAAAATAGAGAACCTTTCAGATATTAAAGGAAATTTTAATGACTGGTAACTTGATTAAGAAATTATCAAATATTTTAATGTAATATTTATTTATGGCATACAAAAAAAGTGTCACAATAAATCGGCAAACGACTCACTCCGGAGGCAGATGAGGTATGCCTAAGCTCATATTTGCTTGACTTTGGTATAGCTAGCACCTTCTATATGGCACTCGCAATAGTACCTTTTACTTTCAAGGAAGAGGCAGACAACTTCTCTCCTTCAGGTTTCATTGTTGGGGGCTTGTTGTGAACAAGTTTCCACCATCCTGGTTCTCCAAATTCCTGAGCGCCTGAACGGAAGTACATAGGACTTCCCACACTGAGGCAACCTGCTACTGTGCTCCACCAGGTCGAAGTCTTTTTCCTAGGCAGTCCAAGAATTTAAAAATTATTGGTACTTTAATTATATCATTATATAGAAAATACACTCTCTATATATATCCTATGAAGCCTAGCTTATGATATGCTACAAAACCTGCAGTCTTTGAAGGAACATACATCAAGGGAGAGGCTCTAGTCTGTCCGGCTTCAAATCCTGGCTCTAGCTGATTCAGTTTCTAGCTGACCACCTTCTAGCTGACTCAGTTTCTTCATCTTTAAAATTAGGATCATAGCACGTACCTCGCTAGGTTGCTGAGTGTATTAAATAATTCAAACAAAACTCATAAAACACTTCTTACCACAGTCAACATAGAGTTCTACAGGTTAATTTTCATTAAACTTGAGTTGCTTTGATATATGAATTAAACACAGCTCTTAAGAAAGCAAGCAGAAGAATCAATTGCCCTGTTAAATACTTCTTTTGTAAAAAATTATATTGTATTGATTATGGTATTACAATTGTACAAATATTTTTCCCCATGCCTCCCTCCACCAAGCACCCCCTACTCCCTCAGGCAATCCCCTAACCATCGTTCATGTCCATGGGTCATGTGTATAAGTCCTTTGGCTACTACATTTCCTGTACTGTACTTTACATCCCCATGGCTATTCAGTAACTACCTACTCACACTTAATCCACTCACCTCTTCACCCATTCCCCTACACTCCTGTCTAATCTAGCAACCATCAAAATGAACTCCGTAGCCATGATTTTGTCTCAATTCTACTTGTTTGCTTTGTTTCCATTTTAGATCCATTGTTGATAGATATGTATTTATTGCCATTTTAATGCTTACAGTTTGGATCATCTTTTTAATTGTCTTATTAACACTTCATATAATTGTTTGATGATGAACTCCTTTATTTTTTTTTCCTTGTCTGGGAAACTCTTTATTTGCCCATCACTTCTAAATGATAGCTTTGCTGGGTAGAACAATTTTGGCTATAAGTCCCTGCTTTTCATCACTTTGAATATTTCCTGCCAATCGCTTCTAGCCTGCAAAGTTTCTTCTGAGAAATCAGGTCATGGTCTTACTGGGATTCCCCTCTAGATAAGTAACTGCTTTTCTCTTGCTGCTCTTTAGATTCTCTCTTTAACATTTGGCATTTTAATTATGATGTGTCTTGGTGTAGTCCTCTTTGCATCCATCTTGTGTGGATCATCCATCTGTGCTTTTTGGATTTGCACATCTATTTCCTTCACCAGATTAGGTAAGTTTTCTTTCATTATTTCTTCAAATAGATTTCCAATTTCTTCCTCTTTCTCTTTTCCTTCTGGCATCCCTCTTATGCAAATGCTGGAATACCTGAAGTTGCCCCAGAGGCTGCTTATACTATCCCTTTTTTTTTTTTTTTTTTGGATTCTTTTTCCTTCTTGTTGTTCCAATTGGTTGTTTTTTGCTTCTTAATGTTCCAAATCATTGATTTGATTCTTGGCTTCAACCATTCTACAGCTGTTTCCCTATAAATTGTTTTTTTTAATTTCAGTTAGTGTTTCCTTCCTTTCTGACTGATCATTTTTATGCTGTAGTGGTCCTCAGTTAGTTCCTTGAGCATCCTTATAACCAGTGTTTTGAACTCAGCATCTGATAGATTGCTTATCGCCATTTCCTTTAGTTCTTTTTATGGAGTTTTGATTTCTTTACTCATTTGGGACATGTTTTTTTGTCTCCTTGTTTTGGCAGTCTCCCTGTGTTTTTTTCTGTGTATTAGGTAGAGATGCTTTGACTCAGTGTCTTGGTATTGTGGCCTAATGTAGTAGGTGTCCTGTACAGTTCGGTGGCAGAGTCTCCCCTATTACCCAAGCTGGGTACTAGAGGTGTACCCTTTGTGTGAGCTGACTACACTCTCCTCTTCTAGTTGAGCCTTGATGCTGTTAGCAGGTCAATAGGAGGAATTTACCCAGGCCAGTCAGCTGCAAACACTGACTGTGACCAATGACTAACAACCTCTACCATCTGTGAAGAATCTGCTATATGGGGCAGGGCAGTGGTACTCTGATGTGGTCTATAGCTATCCACCAGTGCATAGGCTCTGGGGTTCACCAGGTGATTCAGGCCAAAATCAGCTCCCACCTGTGTTCTGCCGCGGGCTACCCTGCATGAGCTATAAAGCAATCTGAGATGGCAGCTACTTCTGCTGGGCTAGAGATTCCCTGGGGAAGAAAACTTCCCTAATTTGGTGAAGGAAATAGACATGCCTGTCCAAGCAGAGTGCCAATTATAATGGAAGCAAAGAGGCCCACTCCAAGATACATCACTATTAAAATGCCAAAGGTTAAAGATAAAGAGAGACTCTTAAAAGCAAAAGAAAAAAAGTTAGTTACCAGAAGGTTGCCAGATGGGAGGGGAAAGGGGGTGAATGGTTGAAGAGGTGAGGGGATTAAGAAGTACAAATAGGTAGTTACAGAATAGCCATGGGGATGTAAAGTACAGTGTAAGAAAGAGTAAAGGACTTATACACATGACCCATGGACATGAACAATGGTGGGGGGATTGCCCGAGGGAGTAGAGGACGCTCACTGGAAGGGTTCAAAGGGGTAAAATCAGGACAACTATAATAGCATAATCAATTAAATATAATTAAAAAGTAAAAAAAAAAAAATAACAAGGGCATAAAAGCAAAGCCTGTAAATATCTGAAAGAAAATGAGTTCAAATTTAGAACTTCATTACACAGTATGCTATTCTCTTAGTTCTTATGGCAAATAAGAAATGGTTATTATTGTTAAGAATTTAAAATATGTTCTATGAATAGCAGAATTCACATCTTTAGAAGTTATGAAAATAGTCTGACTGCAAAAGTTATTCACAGTTGGTTCTCTGGGGTGTAATGATGCTGTCTATGTTCATACATAGAGACATCCGAGCACGTGGTGACCACATCAAGGAGCAGTTCCAGGTGACCTCCCAATCACTGATGTTTAAAACAGAGTTCCAAAATATAGGTTAGCGCTCATCGGGAAACTGAGTGACAAGGAATCACAGGGTAAATTTTAATTCTCCTTTACTCCTTCAGGTTAAATCAAGGAGTAACTTTGTTGTTTGAAATTCTAACACATGTAGCCTCCCCTTTTGATGAAAAAAGAGGGTCTCAGATTGCCTCTATGGGCCATGGGTTTCACTACAACTTAATGGTATTTTATTTCCAGTATACTTATTTTAATAGCTTTATCCTATTTATGACACATAATAGGAGTTTTTCATTTTCCAAGGTGGTGTGAATTTTCTTTATAAAGTCAATGTATTTTTAAGTGGCTTGATTTAAAAAAGTAAATAGTAAGTCAAGTGATGCGTAATTATGGCCAAAAACACTAGTTTAATGGTTAAACTACACAGTAGCTGGAAAATAATTAATGCCTTTCAGACATACTTAAAAAGAACAGGCTGTAGAAATTAACAAATGAAACTGAATAACTTCTGTTAAAATAAAGGCAATATCCTTAAAAATAGGCAATTTAAATCCAGTTTCTTCCAGAAGACAATCCATTAAACAGAACAGCACTGAGAGATCGTGAAAACATTCCAAGATCTAATTTTATCATTTTTTTTCCTTTCTTATAAATGGGATATATTGAGTTCCACAAATAGTGCTATCATTAAACTAAGATAACAGATTTCCTTTCTTTGAGAAAAAGAACCAGTTATACTGTCACTTCTTTTCTTAGTACCACCAAAATACTCCAGAATAAAAATAACTCCTTTTGTAAAAATGTACTGAATCTCTTCTATTCTTTCCTCATGGCAAGTCTCCAGAAGGTCACCCCTCCTTACAAACGCCTTCCCTGAATTCCCAGCAACATCGGCAGAACTGTGACTTCTCAGCACTGGACATAAAGGCTGCAGCAAGTTCCGAGTGAGGACAGGTGCAAACTCCCAGCTCTGACATGATGTGATCAGAGCCTTTATCTCATCTATACCGACCCAATATACAAGATTTATGAATCTCACAGAGGACTTCAGATGGCAGTTAACAATCAGGATCTCAAACAGAATTCGCCAATGCAGTTGCAAACTCACTAGTCCCTAAATAGCAATAAAGGTCTTATTGATCCACATGAACATTTAGTTAAACCATGTGGTCTCAATGTCTGCATACTAACATCCCTAAGTCTGATGAACCAAAGCAGCCACCAAGGAGAAGTGCACTCAGCAGCAAACTGAAAGCATGACTATGAAAAGAATGAATGAATGAATTAGCCACATGTATATTAATGTACCTAGACTTAGCTAAACACTGTAATTCCAAAAAGTATAAAACTGTTTCTCCCTTCCAGTTAATAAAAACAAATACTAACAACAAGTATATGTTAATGAAGAGCAATATAAATGGGTACAGTCAATAACTGCCACTATTTTTCTTCTTCTGATCTCCTGTAAGGACAACACTTTCTGAATTACAAAATTCTCTGTAATTGCCACAAACAAACGCATATTCCAATTCTCTAGAACAGCGATTTTTAACCAGTGTGCCACAAGAATTTTTAAAACATGCAATATCTGACTATTTAGTCAGGGGTACTGACCTCTTTTCCCTTAGATTGTCAAATTTTAAAAAATGAGTAATAACAGCAACACAACACTAGCCATCCAGTGTGAATGAATCAAAATTATACCTTTTTTTTGGGGTCAGATCAGCAAAAAATATATCTTCATGTGTGCTGCAGAATTTTATTGATTAGTATAAGTGTGCCAGATAGATGAAAAAGGTCAAAAACTGCTGCTCTAGAGGGCTGCACTAGGCTTATAATCTTATATTCTTTGTTCTTCACATCTTTGTTCAAGACTTTAAAAATCATGTTACCTATTCCCTAGTAAAAAAGTCCAATGTTTCTCTATAAAGGCGCAGATATCCTCTTTCCACCTGAAATAACCTTGACGTCCACTTCCTTCCAGAGACAAGTTGTACATTGCCAACATGACAACCTGAAACAAAGGAAAAAAGGATTGGGAGAAAGGCATGATTAAGGGTGTTCATCTTCAGAAGGGAAAATCTGTCTTATATTTTAGGTGGTAATGCTGGAGAACGGAGGGGATAAAGGAAGGATAATATTGGGATATTCTCAGCACAGAATTTATTTCCATAAGGAGTAATCTGAAGCTAGCTGTAAGGAATCTAGTAAAGTTAATCCCCCCAATATCTGGATCCACACCTTTAACTCCCAACAGTCCCATGACAACGTCTATGACTCAAGGCCATTCTGATGCTTCCACTGAGTTTCAACTTCCCCCATCCTTAAACTTATTAAACTTTTGGACAGCCTGACGAATAACCCCACAAACAGATTTTTCAAATTCTTTTCATTTATTTTTGCATCAGGTCTACATCAACCAACAGGCATCTTCCTTTGAGCAGTTATTGTTCATAGGGAGTTACTGTTTAATGGATATGGAGTTTCAGTTTGGGATGATAAGAAAAGTTCTGGAAATGGATAGTGGTGATGGTTGCCAAACAATGTGATTACATTTTATTCCACTGAATTGTATGCTTAAAAATGCTTAAAACTTTAAATGTTTATGGTATGTATATATTACCACAATTTTTAAGTTATTTTTCAAGAAATACTCTAAGGAAAGAATGAATCAAAATTCTGCCCACTCACTCGACAGTACCTCAGAAACATAATTCACTGTTAATCTCAGTGGTAGATACATAAGTGTCTATTAATTTATTTCCAATCTGTATTTTTTCATATATCAAACATTTCATGACTTTAAAAAGTTAAAAATTCACATACATACTTGAAAATAACTACCTATTATCACAATACTTATTGAGGAACCTACAAACTCAATATATAAAGGACATGATTTTCCTTCTCTCCTGGAATTCATAATCTAAAAGAATGCATCCCAGTTTAGTTTTTGGCTCTCACGCAATCAGACACACTCATCAGTAACAGGCCAGCCTTGCGAACCAGTGTATCCCCTGAACCTAGTTCAGGGTTGGCACAGCAACAGCAGGCATGAGTATATTGAAAACAATCATGGTATCTTTCTTTACCTGCAAAGTAAGAATGATTGTCCAGGACAAGAATGTAAAAACTATACTCTCCTTCCCTAGTACATAATAAAGTTTCTCCTATATTTCAAACTGTTGTTCACAAGTCACCAAAGAGGAGAGGAGACAAAAGGAGGGTGTGGCAGAAAGAGGACTTTCAGTCAGGACACCAGACCTTGGTATTTAGTAATACAAGCAAGCATTTCCATTTATTACTTTGATAAAGCAACAAATACAAAGTCTAAGATTTTTTAAAAACCTAGAAAACCCACATTCCAATGAAACCTATTCAAGACCAACTGAGTCTCTGTCAGCATTTCAATGAGAGACTGAGTTTTTAAGATGCAACAAGAAACACTGGTCTACAGCTTGCCAAGAGCCAGATGCATCTGATCAAAGTTATCATTTCATCACACCAGTATTATCCACCACCAATGTGTCATTGGAATAAAATAATTTTCAAGTGCTGTCAGTCTAATTAAGCATGCAAATTGAGCCAATGTTATATTCTGAGCTATACAATCAAAAACTAGTTGTTCTTTTAAAAAAAACCTTCACAGAATACTCATATTCCTGAAAAATAACAAAATACATATATTCGCTCTTCCATTTTACAGCTTTTGAGAAGCTATTTGCAAGCCAAATGCAAATCTGCCTACATGTGCACACATTGGAATGATCTATTAACATTAATCTGACCCTGCCTAGAGCAGGTCACATGTACACTTTGAGAAAAATTTTGAAATTACAATATTCATGAGAATATATCCTCAATAGAAACTTCATTGTCTACTCATATATTTTCAGACAAGTCAAAAAGTCTCCCTCCATTCACCGCTGACAGATTTCCTTATGAGATGTCCTAATAAAGCTGATAATTAAGATAAATCTAAGTCTGTTAAACCAACTACAATTTACAAGGAATACCTGAAGTGGCTTAGATGGTATAATTTACAATCTTTTCTTGTTACCCTGTTTATTTCCTTGATAGCAAAAAAGTACTATGGGTAATTAACTTGTTTAATTATAATTTAAAATAAACATCTAGAATGTCAGTGCATGGGGCAAGCAGGTGTCTTAGGTGTCTAGTTCATCCCGGTAGTCTCTAGGCCTACAACAGTGCCTGGTACTTAACAATTGTTGAATCAATAAACATAATATTGAGTATGTATAATCCATTCCTTTTTAGAATTTAAACACAGTATATACATTATGCTTACTATAGACATATTAATATAAAAACAAAACCAAAATAATTAATACAACCAAAGATCAATAAAAAGCTACTGTTCAGGCTATGCAGCTGGATTATGGTATTGGTATTGTGGATGATTAAAAGTGGACATAATATTCATTAAGCAAAAAATATTTAAACATGTTTGAGTTCAAATGCAGGAAAGCTGGATAGTGCTGGTTTCTATAATCAGCCACATTATATCTTCCTAATCTATTTCCAGTGGACCATTTTTCCATTTTTAAAAATGTTTCATTGTTCCAAAAAAGGCTGCCAGAAAAATGTGAACCTCATTTTCAATTAAAGTCAGAGTTCAGTATTATATAAAAATGAAATCGTGCCCTGACCCGTGTGACTCAGTTGGCCATCATCCTCCAAAGCAAAAGGTTGCTAGTTGGACTCCCAGTCAGGGTACATGGCGGGGTTGCGGGGCTGGTACCCAGTTGGGACACATATGAGAGGCAACCAATGTTTCTCACATTGATGTTGCTCTTCCTCTTTCTCCCTCCCTTCCCCTCTCTCTAAAAATAAATAAATAAATAAATAAAATCTTTAAAAAAAGAAAAATCGTGTGTTTTCAGGAATCTCAAACCCAATTCAGTAAGTTAGCACTGAGTACCATGAACTTTCTCCACACATTCAGTATACAATTTTCATGGGTAAATAAAAAGTGACCCTCAAAACAGCTCAAAAGCTCATAGAAGTTCCTCTTTCTCCCAATATTCCAGTATATTCCTTGGGGGACCAACCTCATGAATGTTACAGGAAGAGCCTTTTACTCACTTGCTGCCATGTTAGCTTCAGCCTTTCATACTGCTCCTTGCCATCTTCTGAGCAATCGGAACAAGTAAACCTAAAAAAATTATCACCCTTAAGGTAACTGAGCTGTTCCCTCAGCTGACCTAGGAAAAAAACAAAAAGGTTTATCATAGAGCAGTGGTAACCTAAAGGCTTAATTTTTATCAACCAGATTTTCCAAGTTTTCCATGCTGTTTTTCTTTTTGTTTTTCTTTACAGCCAGTCCACAATAGGAGGCAGGGGAGGGAGTAGAGGGGAAAGATTTTTATTCTTCCAACATCAAGTGTGTGCCCACTTAAGATCACTGGTCCCCTAACTTTTAGGAGAAAGATACTGGACAAAACAGGTATTACTGCTTACTGGATTTTCCAGCTGTTAACATTTCTGACTCATATAGGTCTCTTCACACATTCAAACAATATCTGAACACCCACTGAGTATCAAGCACTGGGCCTGGAACTGGGACTACTATGCCCAAAACAGGCATAGACAGTAACTGCTCTCAGCAGCTTTAAAAATTCTGTAAGGGAAGCACGAGGAAACAGGTAATCACAACAGCACAGTGGTTCTCCATCCTCATCATACAGCAGAATCACCTAGGGAGGTTTTTGTTTTTTGCTTTTAATGCCTTGGCCTACCCCACATGAAATGAACCAGTCTCTGAAGTGGGGCCTAGGTCTGCATTTTTTAAAGTTCTCCAGGTGGCACATGCTCTGTAAGACATGAAAATCACTATAACTCTAAGGGCAATGTGAGAGTAAATAAAAGAGGTGCATGACCCAATTTGGAAAGATAGGAGACCTAGAAAAAGTGAGCTCTACAGATGATTAGAATTGGCCTAGGGAAGCGAGGTGCTTGCGGGGGAGGGGAGGGGCGGGGGGGGGGCTCAGAAGCTATAGTGATGCATACTGCAGAAAGGAAATTACAATGTGCTAAATCCTAAGGATTAAAAAAACTTGTTTATAGAAAGTTATTGGGTTGGCCAAAAAGTCCATTTAGTTTATTCCATAAAAGAGACGTTTTTCATATTCAATAAAGATTAACTTTATTGATTTGGATATTTTGAGTATGTCATCTATCCCCCGCTATTGGCTTCTAATGGGTAGAGGCCAGGGGTGCTGCTAAACATCTTACAGTGCATAAGACAGCCCCACAGCAAAGAATTATTTGGCCAAAATGTCAATAGTGCCAAGAAACCGCAAACCACTTTTGACATGTTCTCCATACATTGCACAAATCTTTTATTTCTGCATTTCGGTTGCGTTTTTACCTTTCTTGAAATAATAAAGCACAACACGCCAAAAATCTTGCTTATTTTCCTCCATCTTCATTATTAAATGGCTACACAAAAATTCAACAATTTTCTTTTTTTTTTTTAATGCACGCTGATATGACAGCTGTCACAATACAACCTAACAAAATTATTTCAGATGAAGTTAAGGAAGACTAAGCACAACCAGAGCCATCATATAGAAAAAACTAAACGAACTTTTTGGCCAACCCAATAAAAGCTCACCAGCATAGCTCTCTTTATGTGTGAGGATAAGAGGCATCTAGAGAGAGAGGCTAAACAAGTTAGCAAGGGCACAGTCATAAAGTACAGTTTAAAATGTATCCTGTGAGGACAAGGGGAAAGCCACTGAGATCTTTAGGTAAGACCTTGAATTAATAAGCAGAAAGAGCTCACAGGCAAAAAACCACCCAAGATGTAATAACTTTCTACAAAAAGTTATGTATTAGTAGTAACTATTAATCTGAATAGTTGAATCTTTAACAAAAACATTTCCACATACCAGAAAATGCCCCACTTCGCAATTACACACACACTCACACTTTTCTCTGACCTAATTACAAATTCTATTACACAGAGAATTCCTCTACTGCATATGTCTTTACTGGTCTGGCCTAATGGAAAAATCCTTTTCTTGGTAATACTCATGATGACTGGCAAAGCATACTCTTTCTTAAGAACTAGGATGCTAGCAGTTGACAAGATTGAGTTGAAAAACTAAAGTATCAGAGAAGCATGTGTGTATATCTCTCTCTTGCCAGCATTATCAAAGAGGCCAACAAGCAGAAAACAAAAACAGTCCTAGAAAAAATAAGCGCAAAACAATTTTACTCTACTAATTCTAGCCTTACTTCAGCATACAATAGCTGGAGTTTTCCATTAAATTAAACATTGAGTAATTTTTATGAACTTGAATTTTAATTCTACACTGGGCCTAGAATTTGGCTTCAAATTCTTAACTTAGCCTTGTTGAAAAAATTTGGCTAATTCTTTAACACAGGATTTCCAATTTTCTAATCTTTATTGAATTACCATCAAGGACATTAATTTAACAACTTGATATATGTTGACAGTTTTTATTAGTATAAATATATCTGATTTATATAAATTTGTAGTTAACTAAACTAAAATTAAAGATAATTATCTTTTTATTTAGGTCCACTTTACATTTCTTGACATTCACGTTTCCTTCATAGCAATAATACCTGTTTTGTCCAGTATCTTTCTCCTGACATTCACGTTTCCTTCATAGGTTAGAAAAACAAACCACGTAGAAACCGACAAATCAAAGGAAACTAAAAGCTCCTTACTGGCTGGTATCCATTTCTGGCATTTGTCACAGAAGTAGGACAGCTGCTCCTCCATCCAGGACACATCTCCTTCATCACTGTTCAGGGAATCCCCACTCTGATCATGAGACAAGTCCACTGATGCCTGGTCCTCCGATTCAACAATCAGGAGAGTCTCCCCCTCCACTTCACCCTCCTCCAGTCCTTCTGAGGTAGATGTTCTTGTGGCTTCATCATCATGGCGACTTATCAAACTACTCAGGTGGATGTTACTATCCATCCCTTTTTTTCTCTCAGGGTCAGAAGTGCTTTTTATCACAATCCTAAACTCTGGACACCACACTTAAAGGGGCTTTCATCAGGATTACACAAACAGAAACTCTTCAGAAGAGTGCCTACTTCTCTACTCAGATATAATGACTTTTTAAAACAGTAATTTAGACTATGTAATTCACTGTCCTTTTATTTGACTGAGTTTAAAAGGACAGTGACCAAAAAAAGGTTGAAGATCTCACTAAGCTACTATTCATCAACACACTCACATGCACACACATTCAACACTATCTGTCCCACCAATATTTCACATTCATTTTAAGTCATGTTTTTTGAGATCCTTTGCCAACACTGTCTTCTCTCTTTCTGCTTCAAGTTGCTCAGTCAAAATAATCTGTTCTCCCAAAAGACGAATGTTTTCTTTTTTCCGATTTTGCCTCTCAATGTCTCTGATCACTCCGTCACGAAGCCTCTAAAAACATAACAAACAGATTTCAGTAACACCTGAACAGGTGGTTCCCATCCTGTGCCATTCAAATCCAAGTAACAGCATTACCAAAATACACTTAAAACTTTCAGACTCTATTTTAACTTTCTGAATAAACATAAAATGTAATAAAGAAACCATCAAATTAATCTGGTAGTGTGCTATAATATTATCACTTAAATGATAGTATTTAAATGTTATCTTATCATATTTTATATCATATTTTAAGAAATTCTTAAATATTCACTATATATATTCAGAATATTCAGTATATTTTTCATATTTTAAGAAATTCCTGAATGTTCAGTATAGAACACTTAATTTAAAATAATTAAAAAAGAAAAAACTGCCATTGTGTTGAATTTTAAAAGTTTAATTGATATATGACACTTAAAAAAATTTGATAGAAATTACTACAGTAATTCTTTGAACTACTTTCCTCCTAGCAATTATTCTAGCTGAATAATAAACATCAAAGAAAAAGAGGTTACTAAAATATGAACAAGCTGTAAGGTGCTACAAGAAAGTAAAAAACCCAGCTTCTAATACATAAGGAGAAAAAGTGAAAATTATACAGAATTACTTAGTCAATTACATAACACAGAAGAATAAAATACTACTCACAGACAGAAAAATAAAGGTCTATTAATAGTAGTTACTTTGATAAGCACTAAAGAAAGGTAGAAAATTCCAGAATATGGACCTGGCACCTAAGATGAGACTTTTTAAAGCATCAATCCAGTCATGACTAACATTTTATAGTTACAGGTCACAAAATGCTCTAGTAAGTTTTTAACAGCAACTTTGTAAGGCAGAATTAATGGAGATAGGTCGCAGGGTCTGAATATGTTTTGGGGTTTTCTTTGTAATTATTATCATGTCTATTTAAAAGACTCACCAACTATCTACCTACCTGCAGGACCTCCTCCAGGCCTAGAACTTCACTCCATGTTATGGGGGAAGAGAGAGTCATGAGACTAATAACTCAACTAAAAACCAACTCTCTTGATCCCTGAACCCTTGGCAAGACCTCCAGAGACAGAAATGTAGGTGCTCATTCCATTCCTCCCTCCCGAATTCTTCCTATCCTGTGGTCCTTACACCATGACATACCCACACACTCACTTTACCTCCTAAAGCCCGCGCCTTCCCCTGGAATCATTCCACACCTGCCTGAGATCCTACCCTGCCTTTTGAGACTTTAGCATATACTTAGGATCTTGCTTTCCATACATCACTTGCTATCTTCCTCCAAGTTTCAATGTGTATGGCTGACTGCCTCCGTCATCTTCCTGTGACATGCACTTTTACTACCTTACAAGCCACTAAGACCTCTTCACTATTCCAATTCTAACACCTAGAACTCTGATTCCTCATGTAAGTACTACTTGTGTTGTGGGTTCCTATGAGGATTACAGATGATGTATACAAAGTTCTTAGTGCAGTGCCTCATATGTGGTAGGCTGTGAAGAAACAAATCATTATTTTATTTCTTGCTCCCCTTGAATCCTCCTACATATCCACCATATCAATCATTTGGCCAACTCTTTCCCACTGCTAGAAAATAAGCCCACAATAAATGATTCAATGTAACATAAACACAGGTTTTTCTGGTCAATCTTTTCTTCATCTCTAACTTCCAAATATCTTAATCTTTCTGTTCTTCCGCCCTCTAACACAGTGATCCTCAACCCTGGCTGCATATTAGAATCCCCTGGGTCACTTTTAAAATACACGAAAGCAGGATCCCCATCCCCAAGAGATTCTGATTTAACAGGACTGGAGTAAGACCCAGCCTCAGCTGCACTGTAAAAACTTCCCAGGACTATTGGGTGTGTAGCTAGGTTTCAGAACCAAGTTCTAATAACCCAGCCCTACCTGACACTCTGGAATTCTCTGTTCACTGACCTCAGAGTTACACCTGACACACCATTCTCTACTCCATCTCAATTTTTCTTGGGATCATGGTATTTCTCTTTTTAGAGGAGGAAGATTCCTGCCTCTATTATAAATGCTACCCTCTTAGAATCCCAAATCTCTAGTCTCGTTGATGCCCTTTCATCATTAATCATCCCTTTCCTTCCTCCCCAGAATTCTTTTATCTTCACAGGCTTCCTTTCCCTTGATTTCCATAGACGGTGAACACGGAGGACAAAGCCCTCATCTGTTTCATAGCTGTATACAGAGCACACAGCACAGTCCAATGCAAGAAATGACTTTACTATTGATTCAGGTCATTACTTCCACCTTAGAGAGACAAAGCTCAACCAATACTTGCACCAACGTGCTCTGTGACAGTTCATCAACGACCTAATTCCCGCTCTCATACTCAACATTCGGCACTATTTTTGCATTAGTTTCAGGAAGGAACAACTGTGTTTCCTTATCTTTAGTTCCCAAAAGTGCCTGATGCGGTGCCTGGCACATAGTCATCAGTCATTAAATGTTTGCTAACTCGAATGAGAAAGAAAATATGGGTCGAGACACACAGAAAGGACGATCAGTCCACTGACTAGTTAAGTCTTATTTCTAGATGTACAAAAAAAAAAAAAAGATAATTTGGTGGCTGGTATTGCTAACGTTCCCTGAATCTAGTTTTCATAGAAAACTGCTCCTTAAATTCCATCCCCCTCCAATTAAAAAAAAAAAAAAAAAAAAAAAAAAGCATACAGGCATCTCACCAAACTACCTCGGCCAAAGGCACGAAGGCCAAGTGTGGGGATGCTTCTTTATCACGAGATAAAATCTTACTAGCATTTAAACACAGTAGGACCCAACCTTGGGCCTGGGAGGTGGAGAGGCTGGTATCCTGCTGATGTATCCCCTCCTCCACTTTTCTGCGGTCCCATTCTGAACGTTCTGAAAAGTCGTCTCACGACAGGGTGGCTGACTTGAAAACAGGACCGCTGACCACCCCACAGGAGTGCGTTCGCGGGAGCCACACAACTTCAGCGCGGAGCGCCAGGCTCCAAGGCGCCGGCCAGGAGAGGGTGGCCAGAGTTTCGGGCAGGCACGCGGCCTGGGAGCTTGCAGCGCCCAGGGCGGAGCAAGCCGACCGCGGTGGCGAAAGCGTGAGGGTGCCGGGCCGCGTCGCAGCGAAGGAAAAGGGAGAGAAAGAAAGACGCGGACTAACTGGAAACCACGGGAAGAGACCGGAGGGCCCGGGGCGCAGGCAAGCAGGCCCCGAAACAGACCGCCACGTGACACCGACCTGCTGGTCCTGTCTCTGCTTAAAATGCACGCCGGCCACGGTGGTAACCGTCAGCACCACCGACAGGCCCAGCACCAGCTGCGAACTCCTCGACATTCCCGCGCTGGCCGCCGCGGCCGCTCTCTCCCACACCCGCGACGCCCCAGAACGGCAGCCTGCGGGCGCAGATGCCGGCGCGAGCCAGACCCGATATGAAGAACGCAGAGCTCCAGACACTGCGAGCGCCACCCGCCGCCACTGCCAGGCGCGAGCAATCGAGAGCCGAATGGCGCCCCAGCTCCTTGGCAAGTGCGGCTTTGGTTGAGGCCCGGGGAAAGGAGGGATGTCCCTCTAACCTGCGAGCGACAGAGTTAAAACACTCCCAACTCAAATTCTGTGGAAGAGCCTGGGCCCAAAGCTGGCCCCAGCACCTTTCTGGAGATGGCGTGGAGGGGTCCCATGCCTGAGCCATTTCATTTTATCACCCTACCACCAGCAGTGGCAGGGACCGTAGGACTTGGAGGGAAAGGGGAATCACCCCACTGGGCTACTTTAATGACCCAGGTGCTGTTGCTCAATACCAACTTCACCAAACTCACTCCTCATTTTTTCTTTGGCAGGGAAGGTACCACCAGGCGGTGAGTTTTGCTAGTTAAATGCAGACACAGTCACCTGCTTTCAACTCGACGCTGTAGGGTGGCCGATCAGTCTGATTTTTCTTAAAATCGAAAAGCCTTCTTGCTAAAGAGCATGTCAGCCGGGCAGCGACACCGTCTTGCCTGCTGCTACGAAAAGGGCTGGCCACCTCCTTGTCCATGTAGTCCTTAAGAGGTCACTTTTACACTCTTAGAGCCTCAGTGCCTTCAATTTTTAAGACAGGATTCATGAGCCCACATCACTAGGAACATAAATGATGGGAATGGAGTGCCTCGAAAATATCGTAGCTTAAGGTCCTGTCCAAGGCATAGAAACATGTTTGGCTTTTTAATAAAGAGATAACTGTCATTAAATTATTCTTTCTCACTAGAATTCAAAGAGAACAAACTTCTTCCTGTGGAAACAACTTTGGACAATATTAATTTGGGCTCGATCTCACCCTCACCCAAGGGCTTCATCTACATTCACCTCTGTAGCGCTTTGCTATTCCAGCCTATGGCATGAGGTGATATTGCTCTTAGGAAATGTAATATAATAAAACTTTTCAAATACCCTTTTCAAATGTCATTTTGTCCCCAACATGTTTCTCAGTCTGAAAAATGTACCATTGAATTGGAAAACATGGTCCCTGCCCTAATAAACCTTGAAGTTAGAAGCAATTTAATTTGGGGTGTATATGCATATTTCTGTAAAGAATTAAAACTGTATTAGACTACTTTTAATTGTGGTCTTCTCAAAATATTTTTTCTGTCTAAGGCAATGAAACTTCAATATGTCCTTGGACTGTGCCGCAGAGAATTGCATGGTCTTTCATTCTTGATCGCTATTTTTTCAACTTGTGTTCTTGAAATATTTTGTTATTCTACTTTTGAGAGATCCTTTAAATGGTAACAATGTCAAATTAAAAAGTGGATAACCTGTTTAAATATTTATAAAGCTAGGCAGAATGTATTGTGATATTATTGTCTCAAGTTACTGGGTTATGAGAGAATGACTACATGCCATCGAACATTGAAACCAACTTTTTTTTCATTAAAATAATTTCCATTTAGTCTAAGTATATTTTTAAGTGTGTGCAGTATGTTTAAACAAAAGCAGTTTTCTGGGACAACTTGAAGAGTTTCTACTAATGAATACAAGTCCAGACTTGCTGATTGGCTTTTTCTTTCCCCAACAAAGTTTGACTGAATGTGCTAGGAGCAGTGGATTCAAGGTACCCCCACCCCCATGCCATCCCTCAAGCAGCTCATTTCCTGCAAAGAAGACAGACTGGCATATCAAAGAATCACAATTTAAAAAAGCAGTTTACAAGTAGCAATTATGGACTGCATGTTTGTGTCTACACCCCTCCCCCATTCTTATGTTCAAATCATAACCTCCATTGGAATGGTATTAAGAGGTAGAATCTTTAGTAGGTAATTAGGTTAAGATAAGGCTATGAGGGTAGCTTCCTCCACAATGGGATTAGTGTACTAAGAAGGGAAAGAGACTAGAGCTCACTCTCTCTACCCTGTGAGGATGCAGCTAGAAGGTGGCCATCAGCAAATGAAGAAGACCCTCACTAAAACCTGACCATGCCTGATACCAGTAGCTTGGCCAGCTGGAACAGAGACGCAGGGAGGGAGGGAACCTGCCCTGAGGCAGGGGCAGCTTTGCTGCCCTGGTAACCAAGTTAACACTACCTGAAGTCCTGAGCCTGAGCATTTGGGAGGCTAGCAAGAGCGACAGAGGAAAAAGCTCTCCTATCTGCTCTCCCTCCCTGGATGTGGGAGGGACCACGGGGCAGCTGCATGTATATCCTGCAGGTCAATATGGTGGCAAGAGGAGGTGCTTTCCTATCAGTCTAGCCTGGGAAAAGGATGGATAGGCTTGGGGGAACTGAACCTTCCCAGAGTGTGGAGAAACTTGAGCTGGAGATTTAAATCAAGGGAAGGGAGAAACATGCTCTCTTCCTCTGGGCCCTACCAGGTGGGCTTCAGTGGGCTGAACCATCTTTAGATCAGCTGGTCCCAGAAGCCATGTGGCCCATGGCAGCTCTGAAAAGAAGGGAGCCTGAGGCGCTACAGTGACGAGGAAAGAGGCTGAGCTGCTTGGATGATCGTGCAGCTGCATTTGCCAGTCCAGAAGGACAGTATTTTGAATGGGAGAAGGAACTCTGGGCACAGCCTTGGACTGGTCTGGCAGGGGGCAGCTGGGTTTTCCTCTGGGTGCTCTGGAAGGGATGGGCTTTGAAGCAGGACCCTGCCATCCTCCCAGACTGTGCAGCTTTTGAATAAAAGACCTCTTTCCTTTTCTCCCAAAGCTCTGCCTCTGGAATTTGCCTATGGGTGGCGGTGGGCAGCAAAACACCAATTTCTGTTCAGTAACATGCCGGCAACCTAATCTCAGATATCCCAGGCTCCAAAGCGCTGAGAAATAAATTTCTGTTGTTTAATCCACCCACTCTATGGTATTTTTGGTTGTAGCAGCCACAGCTAAGACAGCAGTAGACTGTTCCCCCAAAGTTAAGTGTGGGTCTAGATCTACTGCTCTAGAGTCAGTACTGCCCGACACAAAAGATTCAAGACCCAGTGCTCTGTCAGAATCTTCCAGCAACTCTTTTCCAGGAACCAGGTGCTGGCTGGTTTTAAATTTCTCACTCTCCTCCTCTCAGCGGTAAACTATCTCTAATGCTGAAAAATGGAACAGTCCTCTGTAACCATTGAAGGCTCTGGGTGAAAAGGTGCTCATGAAATAATCACAGAAATAAGTACAGGTAGAGTTTCTACTACAAGGTATAAGACTTAAAATTGAGGTCCACTCACCCACAAGGAGGGTAAAAAGAAAAAAAAATTACTTCATAATATTAGCAAACACTTAGCATATTCAGGCACACATTTGAGAGCTGTTTATCCTTCAGCTAACATCTCCCTATTTCCATTCACCCCTCAGCCCCTGGCAACCACCACACCACTCTGCTTTTACGTGTTAAGACTTTCTAGATTCCACATATAAAAAGTATTTGTCTTTCTGTGCCTTGCTTATTTCACTTAGCATAATGTCCTCTAGGTTTATCCATGTTGTTACAAATAGCAGAATTTCATTCTTTTGATGGCTGAATGATATTTCATTGTGTATATATACCACAACTTCTTCATACATTTATCTATCAATGGACACTTAGGTTATCCTAAGTGTAGAAACTGAGGTTTCTACATCTTGGATATTCTGAATAATGCAGCAGTAAACATGGGAATGCACGGGAATTAGAATTGAAATCTCAATTTCATTTCTTTTGGACATATGTCCAAGGATTGCTGAGTCATAAAGTAGTTCTATTTTAATTTTTTGAGAAACTGCCTTACTGTTTTCCATAGTGACTATACCAATTTACATTTACAGTGTACCAATTTACAGCACACCAGGGTTCCCTTTTCTCCACATTGTTGCTAACACTTGGTACCTCTTGTCTTTTTGGTAATACCCGTTCTAATAGGTGTTCAGTGACATCTCATTGTGGCTGTGGTCGTTACTTGCATTTCTCTGATGATTATTAATATTGAGTAACTTTTCATATACCTATTGACTATTTCAGTTACAAGATCAATAAATCTGGGGATCTAATGTATATCACAGTGACTATAGTTAATAATACTCTGTGCATACTTGAAATTTGCTAAGGGAGTAGATCTTAAGTATTCTCACCTCACCAAAAAAAGTATGTGAAGTGATGGATGTGTATAATTACCTTGATTGCAGTAATCATTTCCCAACATATATCAAACGATCACATTGTACACCTTCAATATGTACTATTTTTATTTGTAAGTTTTGCCCCAATAAAGCTGTAAACAAAATAAATTTTAGATATTTTTAAAAGTACCAAGAAGAAAATAATTATTTACATTTATACACACAGACTCAGAAAAAAAAGAAAAGAAATGAAGTTCAGCTATAACATAAATGAACCTTGATATCTTGAAAACATTATGCTAAATAAAAGAAGCATAGTCATGCCCTGACTGGTGGGGCTCATTGGGTTGAGTGCTGGCCCGAAAACTGGAAGGTGGCTGGTTTCATTCCTGGTCAGAGGACAGGCCTGAGTTATAGGCTAGGTCCTCGTTTAGAGGCATGCAAGGGGTGGCCAAGCGATGTTTCTCTCACACATCGATGTTTCTCTTGCTCTTTCTCACTCCCTTCTCCTCTCTCTAAAAAAATAAATAAAATCTTTAAGAACACAAAAAAGCTATTCACAAAAGACCAGGTATTGTATGATTCCATTTATATAAAATGTCCAGAATAAGCAATGTCATAGAGACAGTAAGTTGTGATTAAACACTTGTTGTCAAGAACTGGGGGTGTTAAGAGATGAAGGCTGCTAATGGGTTTCATTTTGGGGTGATAAAAATGTTCTAGAATTAGATCATGGTGATGGGTACACAACTCTGTGGAGCTACTAAAACAACTGGTTTGTAAACTTTAAAAGGGTACATCTTATGGTATATCATTATTTTAATAAAGCTGTTAAAAGAATGTGAAAAAATAAAGCTGTTTACATATAAACTGATTTCA